CCAAAAAGGCCCTCTCCCGAGCCCTCTCACCATAACCAAACAATCTAGGGCTATAATATATTGACTTGGGGCTAGACCCCTTGATGCGTTGACTTTAAAGTAAATAGTGGATGGGCCAGGGTTGTTACTCTGGCCCACGGCTCGGCCACTCGGCCCTGCATATAGGGAAGCTACAGCCAGTATCTTCCTTAGACGATTCAAGCGATTTCCCTTCCTCCGATCGGACCGTACGGTACAATTGGTGACATCGACCTGTTCTTCTTCATGTGCTTGACCCTACTAGACCCTACTAGACCTACTATACCTAACTATATCTACTAGACCTACCCTGCTTACTTCACCTCCTGTGCTTATTATGCCTACCGGACTCATTTGACTTCCTTTCGATTAGAAGGACCTGTGAAGGAAGTCAGGCTTGGCAACACCTAAGCTTTGGCACTGCAGGATCTCCGAGGTGCAGCAGCGGGATTGTCGCGGGGTCGTGCCAAGGCAGGCCAAGCCAAGCCACTTGGACCTGTGTCCATTTTTTAAGACACCATGTCCCGCCTTCGCTTGAAGCCGTCAGAATGGCATCATGATAACTATGCTGCATTCTCAAAACACTTTGCTGACTGCATTAGCTCCCGACGGCTGGCCATGACAAAACCAGACCATGTCGACAAGTCCGAGAGAGAAAAGGCATCGCCGTCTCAAACGTCAAGCGTCCCTAAGCAATTCTTCGACAATGCCAGCCAGCCACTTAGCCCCGTCAAATCCTGCCGCTTGGACGCTAGAGGCCCGAAAGCGAGACGAGTGGTCGAGAGGGAGGGCGTGGCTGAGGCTTTGCTCTTTACGGCAATCCATAGCGTTGACAAGTGCCAGCTGATTCTGGCGCCATTTCCGCTTTGAGCTCAAACTATTTACTTCCCCAGCTTGGCTGTCATACCGTCGAGACATTCCCAGGAAATACGGATAGGGCTGGAGCAAACTGCGAGATGGACCTACCTCATGCCGACTGCCGGAACAATCGAGGCCTCTATAAAGCCGCCGCAATGGCCCCGATAGCATCCTCCCATTGTCCGTCATCAACCCACATCACTCTTCAGACTCCAAGGCCCTTCACACATTTACATTGCGCGGGGCCAACCAATTGACCACCCAATTAAACAGCTTCTGACACCTTCACCCTCCTCGCCCTCCAACTCTGTTCAGCCATGGCCGTGGTCGCGCGAAACGCAGCCTGGACCCTGGCGCAGCTCCAAGCCTGGGTGGCTCAGCAGCCACTGATCCACCTGGCATCGCAGAGCAACGGCGGCTGGGAGCGGTGGGCCCAGATCGACTTCAGCGCCTACCTCACCAACAACGGCACCCAGACCGAGACCGAGGACCTGCCCTACCTCATGAACCCCGGCCTGCGCAACGACATCACCATTTTCGGCGCGCCTGGCGTCTGCCTCGAGCTCAAGACGCGCAACAATGCCGAGAACCTGTGGGCGGACCCGGGCTACATCTTAAAGGTCAAGCTGGACCAGCTCAAGCTCGAAAATAACCCGCTGATACCCCTGCGCGCCACCAACGAGAAACTCTCGGTGGGTATCTGTCGCCGAGACGTCATCCTGCAAGCCCTCGCCCAAGTGTACACGGATAGGACCGGCCAGCCTGTCTACACGGCTCTCAACTACCTCAATGCCGGCAGCGACTTCCGCAGAATCTTCGACCCGTATAACCATTTCGAGGCTATGAGCCCCAGCGGCCACTGGTTCTGCATCTCCTTCTTGCACGTCAACTACATTGGTCATGATGACGATGATATGTCAGGCGGCGGCGGCGGCGGCGGCGGTACTGGAGGTACTGGCGGTAGCGGCAGTGGCGGAGGCAGCGGCGGCAGTGGCGGCGGCGGAGGCTCTACCCCGAGCTCCAGCGGCAGCAAAATGGGCGGAAGCACCTCTACCAGCACCGGCTCCAAGCCGATCCCCAGCTCGACACCGACGTCCAGTCACACCACCGTCCCGACGCTTCCTTCAGGCGGCACGGTGCTCAGCCCAGGTTCCAAGCCAAGCCCCAGCTCGACGACCACCACCTCGACGACGACCACCGTCCTGCTTCCTTCGGGCAGTTCTATCTCCATTCCCGTCGCGTCAAAGCCGTCGCCAATCCCCAGCCCGACACCGACTTCTACGTCGACCACGGTCCCGGCCTCACCCAGCGGCTCCAAGCCAATCGTCCCAAGCCCGTCATCTGCTTTCAAGCCGCCCCCGTCAGGCGGTACCGTGTCCACCTCTACCGGCTCCAAGCCGATCCCCAGCTCGACCTCGACGTCCATCTTAACCGGCGGCCCTACGATCCCTTCGCCCGGCACAGGCACTGTGTCTACCTCGTCGGGGTCGAATCCGGGGCCCACAGGCGTGTCGAGCAGCACCTCGCTGTCACAGCCCCCAGTGGGCTCGAAGCGGGCGCGTGAGGAGCCGGCAACCAACCCAGGACCAAACAATGAGAAGCCTCCCGGCGGGGGTTCTACTGGCGGGGGATCTACCGGCACGGGTACAAAGCCCATGAACATTGGTTAGTGGTGTTGAGTGGGCTTTGTGTGATCGTTTCTTTGTTGAGTTTGCGGGCGGGCTGTCGTTCCTTGGGTTGGAATTTTGGTCTCAGCCATTCTTAGTCTTTTGCTACTATAGTGAATTGAAACAAATGCCTGAATTGAGCCGTTTTCAACGCATATCCCTTGTGACTCGCTGTAGCAGCAGTACATACCAGCACTCTTTTTGTTATGCAACAGCCTCACCGACGAGCTCAACAGTCTCAGCTGCGGATGCAGGGAGACGTAACTTGAGGCAGCTAAATCTGAAAACAATTTATCTCTCACCACGACATCAGGGCACATAGGGCGGTTGAGTACGAATGGCCTCATTTTCCCCGATCGGGCAGGCCTCGCAGGCCACGCAGGCCACGCAGGCCACGTAGGGCACGCAGGGCAGTCAAGTGTAATGGCCTCACTTTCCCCGATCGGGTAGGGCACGCGGGGCACCTAGGGTAGGTAGGGGGGAAGACGCAGAGCCCTGGAACACAGCGTAGCCCAGTAAAATACAGTGGCCTTTGTCCTCTTACCTGGCCCGTAATGACCTTACAAGGTCGTTATAGGCCCGGTAGCATACCGTCCAAATTCCGCCTCCGACATTTAGCTATCCCCGTAGAAGTGGGACGTAGTTCCATACGTAAGCCGGCGTAAAGATAGCGCGTTGTTAACTGCCCGTTAACCGCAGTTTTTGACAAATGCGATGGACAGGGAAGGTAAGAAAGGCCAAAATAAATTTCTGAACTTACCTAACGGGGCGACTGAACGCCCCCTTAAGTCTAGAGCATATACCGCTATTCCACTACTACCCGACCGCTAATAACTCTTCTTCTCGCCGCTCTTGGCCGTACTCTTTGGGCCACGAGCTTGACTACGCTGGAAATGGGCACGCCGCCCACGATATCGAACACGGCCATGGTGGCGGAAAACTCCCTACCGATCCAATTCCTCAGCTCCACCGCCATGAGCGAGTCCACGCCATAGCTCGACAGCGGCTTGCTCGGCTGGATATCCTCGGCGATGACTCCGATGTTGCCAATCCAGCATATATCGATCGACAGAGCCCTCTCGCCGCATACCACCTCGCGGTGGTGAGCGAGGGCGTCCTGGAAAGCGCAGCCGGCCGTATAGCTAGCGCTAGACGAGACGTCGCACTCCGGAGCAAAGACACGGACGCCACAGGCTAAAGATGCGTCCTTGTCGAAGGAATACCGCCGCCGCTCCACGACATATTGCTGCGAGCACAGATGATGGACTGATTAGCCACCCCACGTCACTTTAGGAGTTGAGGAGTCCCTGGGCGATAGTGCGATCATAGAAGAAGCAGTAGTTAGGTAATTAGGCAGGGCCACGTACCGGTGCCACGTCATCCCCACGCGGCATGATCACTATGCGGCCAATATTGCTACCGGCCTGAAGGCACCGAAAGGGCCTTGGTAAGATCGGGCAACCCAAACAGGTGCAGCGGCTGTGGCGGCTGGATGCTGCCGTCGTCCAGCAGCCGCATGGTTTTCTCGAGCAAGCCAGCCGTAACATCAGCGGTCAGCCACATCAGGTGCACGGCCCGAAAGGAAACATTCCTGGAGAACATGGACATGGGCAGTTCCGGCATTTGGCGTCAATGTCGGCCAGGCCAATGTCGACAAAGCACCCAAAGGGTGCCATGCACTCCCATGACGCGCCCGCAAGCCGTCGCCTGAGAGCGAGCTCAGCAAAATTTGTCGGATGGCAGGAGTTCAAGTGGAAACGATAGTCAGCTCACTAACCCCAACGTAGGAGGGGTTAACGAACGGAAACTCAGCCAGGAATTCACCAGGATCGACGAAAATGAAAGCTCTACCAAACAGCTGAACGAAAAAGAGTCCAACTACATTCCGGGGTGGCCAAAGGAGTATCTGGTCACAAGACGCGCTGTGATCAGAGGGTCAAGTGCTCAGGAAAGGGTCCGGGGGAATGGGTCCCAAACAAGACCATCGTCGTGACGAGTGAGATGGCCTGGACAGAGTCACATCCCTAGACTTTAAAGGAATTTCCATTAGGGAGTTTTGCGCCTTGACGGAGATTTTGGTGCAGAATATGATGAAAATAAATGTATTTATACTACAGTCATTGTAATAAAACGTCGCAGTAGTCGGCATCTCAAAACTTGAGTTGACTTTTGAAGTAAGGACAGACTACCTAACAAACCCACCATCATAACATGGTGGATTATCTTCCAAACCGCACATGGCCGTTGCTCCACCCAAACTAAAACTTCTCGAAAATTCGCAGTGTGCAATTACCGAAACAAACGGCCTTTCCAGCCCTCAACTCCACCACCCATGACTCGTCAACAAAACAAAACAAAACAAAACAAAACCCACAGCCCAGGGCTCTTCATTAAACCAAACCACTAACCGAAATCGTCATCGAAACAGTCCAAACAAGGATCTGCTTCAAGATACACGGCCCGCTGGCTCAATGGTAGAGCGTCTGACTACGATTACTTTCAGTCATCAGGAGGTTCCAGGTTCGAGACCTGGGTGGGTCGATATCATTCTTTTTCTGAATCCTTACTTGTACATTACATATTATATGTGGTGCTTCATCTTACTCGAAATATGGAGTTCACGTTTTCTTTTTGAGGGCCGAGAAATGCACAAGCGCCTACAGGACTCGTAGTGTCTCCTAATCCAATGGCCAGTATATATATGCAGCTCACCGAATATGGAAGGAACGTTACCAGTTCGAAGAAAGAGTCGCTAGGTGGAGTAAATTGTGGGTTAAGTAGCAGTGATACTAGACATATTGAAATGCTACTAGTTACTCCTTGGTAGCGCAATTAGTGGAGCGCCATTGTCAACAGAGTGCCATGACAACAGGACCCTTTCTCACGCGACGAGCAACAGCAACTGATGAACCTCAAACGTAAGGTAGAATGAATCAATTACTCTCTGAGACCTTTGTTAGCTGATGGAGTTGTGCGGCGATGATGTCTAGTATTTGTGACCCTTACGCTTCTACTGGCGCCTATGAAATACCCTAGCGAAGATCGAGCGATTTTGAGCTTGGAGTCCTTCGCTGCCTCTGGGCATCGTTAGCTGACGGAGCGCACAATCATAATGGCATTTGTAACTCCTACTTTTAACGTCTTGCACAAGCTCGACTATATGTTTCTGCTTAGCGGTAAATGCCAGCAAAGGGTTAAGGTCTTTACTGCCGCTTGAATGACTACGGTGAGTGGAACCCCCCTTGGAACGATTGGTATGGCGTGGGGTGCGAGGCAGCTTGTCGTTGCGGCTGTCATGTGTTCCTCCTTCCTCTGGAACGGGGGGCAATTTACCATCACCGCGGTTGGCACCTTCGTCACTGCGATGTCTAGAGCGACTATGGCGATGACTAGAGCCACTACGGCTAGGACTTCTAATGTCGGCACGATCTCGGACAACCTCACCTTCCCTGCGAAGACTGCTGCTAGGGCGAGACGGAGGTTTGCTGGTGTCGTCACGAGACTCCGTGCCACCGTCATCATCATCCCCATAACTTAGAGGCGAAGGAGAGTCACAGAGCAGGTCGTTTGAGACTCCGTTCACTGGGATTGGGCCACTTGGATGCTGAGGGCCGTGAGGTTGGTAACCATCACTCAATGGGAAGCGTGGTGGTTCTTGCAAGTTCGGGGCCATAGGGAGCCAACCCGCAGCATTGTTCTGCGCTACTCGGCCTTTCATGACGGAGTGGGGTTTGGCTCCCTTGCGTCTGGTCGAAAGATGCTTGATTGAATTGTCCTTCACGACGGCTACGAGGTACGACTTGTGGAGCTCAAAAGGCAACGAATGATGCGGAGGATCGACGCGGTGTCTCAATTCAGAATAACGAGAGGAATTGCGAGACTAGCTGTGGTATAGAGGGAACGTACTTAGTAAATCGTAAGCAATATCGCCCCTGGGGTGGTAAACTTGCCCAGAATGGCCGTTGCCGAAGGTTCCAGCAGCAGGATCATTGTTCTGTTCATGGTAGGCAACGGATGTACCTGGCGGACCATAAACACTTGCGTGCAAAGGGTAATTGTCATCTAAATCTGCCGAAGAACGAAAAGAAGCGACACTGTGGCTGCGTCTGGATTTGGAAGAGGCAGCGTCGTAACTTGTAGTTGTAGTCGTAGTCACATCCTGAGTGTCATCATCATCATCATCATCATCATAAGTGTCCAAGTCTTCAACAGTGATGATGTTGTCTTGGTTTATGATTTGGTGGACCGGGAGTGAGGGTTGTGGGCTGTGTACCTCGCACGGGGTATTCGACCAAGGGCTGACTGAGTAATGCGCTGGCCAACCTTGGCTCATTGTTGGAACTCCTGTAATTGGTGGGTGTGTGATATGTAGTGAGTGAATGAATGAAAGAGTGATGGGCGATGAGTGATGAGTGATGCGTGATGGCTTGTTTGGGGAGGGGAGGAGGGGGTTCTTTATAGGCGAGAAAGTCCCCTCGGCCGGATCTCCAGCATTATACCACGCATGATGACGAAAATCAGATGGTTTGATATAGGGCTGCCCTATGAACACGGCCATGATAAGTAGTTCGGATAGACGCACGCCTGATCACGGCCCGCGATAAGAAGGTTGGACGCCGCCCCCATGACGACGGGTTAGATCGGATGGGCACTCCCATAATAGCAGTTCGTGATAAAAAGTTCGGACGCCGCTCCCATGACCACGGAAAAGATCGGACAGACCAGTACATGTACTAGATAAGAAGCCTGAGGCAGGTAGCAGGTAGCTAGGGGCCCATTGAAGATGCCCGCTCTACCACGACTCCCACATCTGCCCGCCGACAGAGATCAGCCGGTTGAACAGGGCATCCCTCAATGGAATGGCAGTCAAATGGTACTCGTGGCCGGCCTTGTCCCTGATGATGACGCCATCCATAATATCCGCCTCATCCGTCGCCCAGCCGACAAGAATCTTCGATTTCCACCCTAGCCCTCCCGTCTTCTGGATTTCGTGTATATCCGCAATCTCAATCGCCCACTTCGTACCGCCAGCTACGCCCTCCTCCTCCTCCTCTGACTCGTCTCCCATTCTGCCCGCCGTCCAGCCCAAGAACGACGACTCGGCCGCACCAAACTCAAGAGAGCCCACCACGATGGACGCATAACCCTTCTTCCCGTCGAAGCGCGCCAGGAAGCGCGTTGGACCGGATGCGGGTGGCGGGCCGCCCGTCTTGACCACGCCTGCTCTGTACCGGGCACTCTTTGAGCCTGGGCCCCCGACGTGCGCGCTCACCCGGTCGGCTCCGCGGATGGCGTGGACGCCACCCCGAGCAACGTGCTTTACAAACGCGATGGCTCGACTTGCTGTCTTGTTGCCCTTGGTTTGTTGCTCGCGAAGGTCGCCGTCTGCTTCCTCCTTGGTCTCGGCATCGGGCTGCATGGCGTCGTTGATTTCGAGCGGATCGACTCCTGTATAGTGCCTTGGTTAACCGCTGATCGCGTGATGATGAGGAGGAAACAGGACTTACTTAGAAGTTCGCCAAGGCCTTCCCCTGCTGTGGAGTGTGTCTCCATCGGAAGGGGATCGGTACTATGGGGAGGCGGTGGCAATGGTGACTGGTTTCTCTCCCCAATACGGAGAAGGGTGAGAGCTAGCTGGGCGTTGGTCGGAATTCCTTTGAGGACCGTGTTGCGCAGTTCCGTGTAGTTTTGCCACTGAGGGTATGCCCTATGAGACTGTTAGCATTAAGACAGACAGCAATAAATGGCATCGGAGGACTGACCGCCCTGCAAAGTCCATCGCCCATTTTATGATAGGATCTCCAAACACCAGAAGACCGACGATAAGCCCAGTACCCTTGAAGATCATATGTGCAGTGAGAAAGTATGATCCAAGGATAAGAGGCACGAGGATAGACACAATCCTACGCCGCGGTTTTTCTGTGGAGAATGGGTACGTCGGGCTCAAGGCGTTGCCGAAACGTTCGTATGTGTCCGAGATCTAATCACTTATTGTTAGGGCCGTAGGATTGTGGGAGTGTCGGCAAACTTACCCCAGCCATTGTATGCAAGACCGGCAGTGCCTCTTCCCAGACGGCATCGGAAACTGGCTTCTTTGTCTTGTCGTGTTCGACAGCTTGGAGGCTTCCGCCCGTCTTGTCCTTTGCATTTGCGATATCTTCGGCATCGTCAGCAAGTTTCTAGTAAGGGTACTAGTAACTCGAAGGAGCCTACCTTCGGGATTCTGTCCGCTGGACATCGCTATCGCAATCTGCCAGGAGAAACAAGATCAGCCACCAATCAAACAGATTGTTTAAATAGGTATTATCCACTCACCTCGATAATGCTGTTCACAAAGCTGTGTGCCTCCATTTCAATCGCTTCGCCAGGGTACGTCTCAGGAGCGCCCGTCATCGAGTCCGAGGCCAACACTCCCGCCATGGGTTTTTTCACTCCGCCGGTCTCGCCATCGATCATCGCCGCCGGCGCATGGGGGAACAGCAGCGCTCGAGACGGCGGGTACACAGCCAAAACGAGGAGGATGGTTAGAAAGGCCGACAGAAGACAATCGAAGAACCAAGCGATAGCGTAAACTCCCAAGAAAACAGACGTTCGCTGCCACTCCCGCCACGAACGCAGCCGGGCAATATGCTTCCAGACGCTAAACAGGCCGACGGCGACAGTCATGTAGAAACGCTCGATGTGGGCACGGAACTTGTTGGCTGTGAAGACCTCGTCCTTCGCGATTTCTAGATCGAGGTCGCACGGCTTGTCACGATACTGTCAGCAAATTCGGGCTGGCATACCCCCTGGGGTTGCTCGGGGACATGGTCAACTTACAGGAGACTCGTGGATGGACTTGACATGGAACATCTGCTGGTTGAATCGGCGCAGCAGGGTCCAGAGATCCTCATTTCGCAGGCCGGTGATCAACTGTTCGGAGGGGTCCTTGGATTCTTCGCGCCATCCGAGATCCTTGACCTCGACGCCCGCATGTTCAAGCTGCGCAGTGCCTTCGTCGCCGCCGTCGTGGTGAACCTCTGCAAGCTTGTGGCTGGCCGTGGGCGCATCGTGGGTATCGTTCAAATTGTTTGCGATTTCGGGCTGGGTGCTCGCGGGTTGATCAAGATCCGGCAGGACTACGGGGCTCGACGATGTCTCCATTCTGGTTCAAGTCATTGATACGAGTGCGTTGTTTAGTTGGGTGTCAAAGTGTCACAAGGTAAAAATTTAGAGGGAGAAAGGATAGCCATCTTTGTTGTTTGGAATGTTGCTGAATAGATAAACCAATTACGGCGGAGCTTCTCGCCCGCACCCTGCACCTGCCGTTCCTTAGAGTACACTGCAGTTTCTTATCAACGTCATAGGACCCCATAGTGCCATACCTGCCGTGCCGGGTTTGAGTTGGAATGATACATCTCCACCAGGGAAATACATGTTAGAAAGTGAATTTAGGTACGGTTATACCTTTACCAACTAGGGCCTCTAGATGAAGGATTAACCCTTATTTGAAACGTAGGAATGTCTTTTTGGCCTATAAGGAGACTTTGAGCCCTCTTATC